TTCAGATTTATCCAATAAGGTCCCATAACTATAAATGCCAGTTCAGTGGTACATAAATTAGAGAAACCTCCAAGAAAGAAATGTTCTATTCTATTATAGTCCGCGAGGCAGGCATTCTTTTGACTTTTCTGAATAATGCCTGATTTATTCTCAACCGTTGAGTATTTTTAAAAATTAAACAAGTGAAAATCAATTGTACGTTTGTATTTGTCGTGTCAAAAACAGCAGATCAGAGCTTTATTTTATTTTATTTTCAATTTTGAATCAAGTTTTTTGAATGGGGTTAGTATTGGACCATTAGTAAGTTTAAGTGGGCTCAGCCCAGCAAAGCAGCAGTCCTGGCAATATATTAGACCATAGAACCAAGCCCCCTTAATTTTTGTAAAATCATGTTATCTTATGGCAACGAAGAAATTATTTCTAAGACGAGAGAGAGAATGAAGCTATGAATAATTTACATGATTAGCTGCTAAAGTATATGTAAAAAAGTTTTAAAACGAAAACAATCATATATTACGGTACAAGCTATGAAAGTTGGGAGTGTCGGTGAAATTAATTTTTCTTTATGAATTTTCATATCGAGTAACTCTCACATTCAAATTCAAGTTAAAAGCTTTAATGCGATCTCAAAGTATGTGGAGAATGTTGCATTGTTAATAAAACTATAGTCCCTGTTTGGTTTAATTAAAAAAATTGATTAAAATCTAAATCAAAATCAACTATTAATGTCAGAGGATTTATAATTTTTATTAACTTTTCAACTGTCCGTTTTATCGATTTTTATCAAAATCTTCGATTTTAAACAAAATCAAGTAAGGACTATCTATCAAGTCGTAATTTTATAAGTTAGATATAAATTAAAGCGTTTACTTTTGGCTATATCGCGGTGGGGTGGGGAGACGGGTAAAAAGACCCCAAAAAAAGGGGAGAGAGAGCTCTTTTGGTTAAATTACAAATGGACAAAAGAGAAACAGTGGAGAGGCCAAGTCTCCTCAAGTTCTTGGTCAACAATATAGCAAGTTAAAGAATGGTACTTGAATTTTATTTATAGAAAAACCACAATGTACATAAGTCCCATAAATATTTTCATTGAATCTGGAAAAGTTAGCAGCTTTAGGTACTATGAATTTTCTTTGTCATAAAGGTACATTTAATTCTGCCTAAGAGAATCGACAAGGAAAAGAAACGGGGTGCAACTTTCATTTAGAATCCTCTCTCTGGTGACAATTTTAAACCCTACAAAGAAACCCTACCTATATTATATTATTTGTAGAATAGAATTCTTGTAATACTTATGTAACGTGTCGAAGAGTTTAATAGACAATATTTTAACTTATAAATTTACGTAAATTTACTATTTGAACTTCACGAAAGTAAAGAGATAAGCTTTAGAACTTGTAACCATCTAATATAATACATACAATTTACATTAATCGATGACAAAAACACACTTAAGAAAAACACACACAAGGATTGTGAGAGAACAGTCTTTTTTCCTTTTTTCCTTCATTTCAGCACATTACGTCCTTCAGAAGCTTGTACCTGCGAGTAGTGGGGCGAGGCGAGGGCGTGCCACTTGGGTTTTTTCCACCCTTTTCTCCGGCGCCATCTGCGCGGTCGTGCTTTATTTTGTCGCCTGAATAGGCTGATCTTGTATGAATATTTAAAACTTGTGAAGAATTCTTTGAAGAATTGCCAGGCTTTGATGTATTTCTTTCCTCACTTTGGCACCAGTCACAAACTTCCATCGGCTCTGCAAATTCGCTGTAGTAGTTGCTGCAATACCTGTGAATTAATTTTTCAAGTGTTGAAGTATAATTTCGTAAATTCGGTTCTCTTCTTTTTCTTTCTTAGTCCATCCATGATCTAATCCGCCCTATTATATTGATTTGTTGGAGCATATTAAAATAATCGGACTGCTAACATTATACAAGAGGAAAAATGATATGATCAAGAGTTAAACAAGAATAAACCATAATAAGTTCTGGATTATTGGGTTGTTGAGTTGCACACCGTAGGTTGTTGAATATAATATATTATGCAGATGATGTCGGAGTTGGGTGAGGAGGGGTGGGTTGTTCATATTTCACTTTCACCTAAATTCATATGATGCAATACATGAAATTCAAATATGTGAAAATAATCTTGATCATCATCGTTTAATATGCATGTAAATTTTAACAGCGTGTAGAGATTTACGGTGCGTACGAGTGTTGGAAGCGGCCTTGGCACTTGGTGCATCTGAAAATCTTGTCGGAGAATCCCACATCGCCACACATACAACACACAGTCTGAAGATCCACCATTGTTGAAGCTTAAGAAAAAGCAGACCAGAGAAAAAAACTTGTAAGGAAGAAAAGATTTATGGGTTTCAAGTCGGTGTGCGCATATCTTTCATTTAAGCACACAATTAATTCTCCACACATACACACACACACACACACACACGTGTGTGGGTGTGTGTGAATGTATATATATATTATTGTATTGTTATTTCTATTGTGTGTCTGCGTAAGGGATAGATATAGATACAGGTAGACCACAGGTTGTTTGCTGTCGTTTTCAGTTAGAGAGAAAATTGTGAACCTTAATTTCTTTGTAGAAAATGAGTTTTGTCCCTAACTAGTTAAGTTTGGGCAATTTCTATCACTACACCCTTTATTTTATTTATTTTTTAAGGCTACCCCTTCTATTTATTCATTGGCTTTTGAGAAAGATTAAAAAAAAAAAAAAAGGTTTCTTATTCAATCTCTTTGTAGGAGCATGAGATACGAACTTGTCATTGAAAAAAGAACTACGACTTTAGAAGAGTAACATTGTACCTAACCTCCATTCAATGTGATTCAATAATAATAATAATAATTAACCAAGATGGAAGCTAAATAATAGAAGAAGAAGATCTATATCTCATATGCTCTCGTCATCATGCGACATGTGTACCTAAGTGCAGACCTGAACCTAGTGTAAACGGATGGGGGATAAGCTTTTACTTTGCAATTTCATATCCTTGAGTTGCTTGTTACTTCATAAAAAGTGTTAAAATAAAATAAAAAAACACGTCTTTTAACTTAAAAGCAGAGCTATAAACTCACATTTATCATTTCGTTTTTAAGGTGCAACATATTGAGTATGTGGAAGATGAGTTATGCTATGATTGCCACTTGAACAACTTCTATCAATTCGGAAAATTGAAAAAAAAAAAAAATGTAATAGAGTCAAAGATTACGTCGCAAACCTATTCGCACAAGTTTTACTTTAGAAATGAAGGAAGACCAAAACTTTAGTTATAAATTAAAAACGAGCAATAACTCGGGATGTAGGACTAGGAATAGACTCACCTTGGTATTGGTATGTACCTAATATATGTCAATTTGCGTGCATTTACGTGAATTAATTACTATCGATTTAAATAATAGTTAGGGTTGACTGAGGCTGATTTTTGTTATTTATAAATAAATATATGGATTAAACAACAATTTAAGGTACATTTTTCTTTAAATTAATTAATATTTAATGAATAGAATTGAAGATGGATTGAGAGTCGCTGTATAAAATTCTCTGTCACGACAATGCCATTCAACTTTGAGTATTGAGCTAGGAGGACCATTATAAATTTTACCTAAGTTGACCCAAGAACGTTAGGGCTCAAGTCAACCAAAATAATAGGTTCCTTGGCCAAGTATAGAAGCTCGGGCATTATTATGGAAATGTCTCACAAGGGAGATTGTACGACGAATAAAAAGTCTGCATGTCCAAAATTTCGAAAATCTACAAATAATTTATTACCTTCTTCTCATCAGTTAAATTCGCTCGCTCTCTATAAATATCAACTACAAATTCATTTCATGCAACCATGATTCTCTAAATACATTGATACTCTTATTGAATTGTCACAACAAAATAATGAATCATTTCAAACAATCAACCACCAAGTCTCTTGGTCTCTAGACGTAAACTCGCTTTAAAACTTTTTTTATTTACCGTTTTCAGTAAACTTGAGATTTTAGACATCTGTTTGAACCCCATTTTTATCAGAATAATGAAGAATTTTGAGTGAAGAATGTATGTTTGAAAAGAAGATAAAGATTAATGTATTTCAAAATAATGTGGATCAAACAAGAGTTGGATGCGAACTTGAATTGCTTAGTGAAACTAACAATTTGTACACTCAATTGGATTTGAAATAAAAATTTAACTAAAGTTATTTACAAGAAAAAATCGTATAAAGTTCATGATTGCCAAGACCCACGAATCAACATAACAAGAGATTGTCTCCAAACGACGAGGAAATACAATGTTTCATGGTGGAGGGGTCTCACCCACGTGCTTTAGTCTTTTGTTTGTTGGGAAAAATATCTGATACAACGGACATCTATGGACCGTTTGACAAGTTAAATTTAACAATACTGAAAAAAATATAAAATTAATAGTACTGCCTAATTCAATAGTTTAATCTCTGGTTTATAATATTATTTATCATTAGTAAAAACCATTATCAGTTTAGAAAAACAAAAAAAAAAAAGAAGAGATTTTTCTTCTTTTGAATTCTCAAAATTTTTGTTGCTCCATCCCCGCAAGGACAGAGAACTCGTTGTTGTCTCGATTGTGCTGCTAGAAGCTCTGGAAAAATCAGAATAGGAGAACACTCATCTCGAAGCGGATTTACTACTTAGATACTTTCAACAGTTATCCGCTTCGCACTTGACTATCTGTTGTTTACCGTGGGCAGAATAGCTGGTACATCAAAGATGTCTCCTTTCCCGTTCTCCCGTACTATTGAAAGGAAGGTGCCTGATTCATTGTCAAATACTTTAAAATGTATTATAACACCAGTAGGCAATGAATCAAGAGCCCCACAAACACCGAAATCGGTGATGATCACTATTATAGATGCTGCGTGCGCTCACATTTATTGGCTTGTCATTTTAAAAAAAAAAAAATTTAGGGTCCATGTTATGTACATAACAAGAACTCGATTATGCTTAAATGTATCAAAATAGAATAGATTTGTAAATAGACCGAGTTGACTGTGGCCTAACCGGAACAGTCTATAACAAAGGGGGACACTGATGTAATCGTAAAAAGTTGTTTACACATGCTATGAGGAAGAGTGGGCCTTTTGTGATGTAGTTGAGTGGGAAAAGGTTAAAAGGGAAAAAGTCCTTGAAAAGAGAACCCGTCAACTTCGTTCACGTAGTTGTCGAGGTGGACCTAGTTGGGATGTATTTGTCATTTAACTCGAAGAATAATAGAATTCTACGTCTTCAAAGTACATCACGGTTTTACATTTCAAAACCATCATTAGAATAATAAATTGGCCTAAAATATGATAATATTATACATCATAATAAAACAAATTTATTTGATCATTTCTTGAGTCAAATCTAGACAAGGGACCAATATTTTTCAATTGTCATCTAAATTTTTCATTTTCTTTGTCTGACCCCAATATTTTGCGAACTTTAGTGTTAGGCATTAAGACGCAAAACATGGACTGGGAAGATTATATACTCAATCTGTAGTTCTAATTCATAGTGTATATTACAAAGTTATGGCAACTACCTTAAATTCAATGGCGTTGTGATTTCCAAAATGTGAAAGCTTACTTTTTAAATTCAACCATGAAACACGAACACTTTGGTCTAAAACTATTTCCATGTGATAAAGTTACTAGACTTACAATCTGAAACTTTGACCAAGCTACTCATATCAAGAATCGGGATCCTCAATAAATTTCTCAAACAATTGAGTTTTCAAACTAGTGGCGTTGGAATTCAGTTTGCTTCAACATCCGGACAGTGTTGTGAAACAAATCACCAGATTNTGAATTGTTAAAGTTATATGACAAATAATAAAGTATTAGATCAATCAAAAAAATAATAAAGACAAGAAATATGGTAGAGGAATTAAGAGATTTTATTGACTCAAAAATAATGGAAAAGAGAGAAAATTACAATTGATCCTATAATTCTAGTTATTTATTTTCTTACACACTATAAAATTGTATAGAAGAACCTAATATTTCTAAAAAACATGTAGGGAACTTCCAAACCCTCTTAGTAGAGTTGTTGATGAAATAGGATGACAAAAAATCGAGTCCGAAATGAAGTAGGAGAAGAAAACGTGGAAAAAACCGGAAACAGATTAGGTGGGCGCCACGGCGCTCACCTCCGGGCGCCACAGGCATTGGACGTTCTGATTTTTTTTTTTTCAAATTGTTTTCTCCATCCCAAATTCTTCTTCAAATCTAATACTAATTTCCAACTTCTAATGAGCATCCAAAATATAATTTCAACTTGATATAAAACTCCAATAACATTCCAAACTTGAATTCTTCGTAACATGCACTTCAATTAGAATTTTTCAATACTTCAAACAAGGAATTTAGGTCACATCCAAATTCTAATAAACAGTAACCTTCTATTACGAGTTTCGAAAGTTCACGATTAGAACTTTCCATGCATTCAACCTCCTCAATAAATACGAGAGCTTCTTCTCTAGACATCAAATCAAAAGGAGTTAACTTTGCTCCATATATACCTTAACCCATTTACAATGATGAGCGAGAAGATGAAGAGTATCCAAAGAGAGAAGATAAGGAATCCCCCAAGTGTATGTCCCCTACTCAATCCAATATGACTCAAATCAAGTTTTAAGGGAAGACTTCTACTCCGATCGAACTACAAAATCCACCGAGTCTTTTTCAAGTGTTTGACACAGCTATCCAAGCAGAATATTTTTCTACCATGGGAAAGCAAAATATCAAACTATCAATGCTACTTTTTCAAACGAATAGGTTTGGAAGACTTCAAAGTATTATCAAGTTCAGTTTATTCATCCTCCGTTGAAAGAAATCAAAGTTACTCATTTTAATCAGGAAGTCATAGTTCAAAATAATCTCCACATCTGATATTCAAACTAGAAGCATAACCAGTGACCACCCTCCAACCTACAAATACAAAGACAAAATATTCAATCTAAGAATAATTATGCCAATGTTCTCTTCATTCTATTTCAAGACAAATGACGAGGATAGAGGGAAACATTCCTATAAAGCTTTGTTTTATATATATATATTTTTTACTCGTATCCAACATCGAGTAGGTGTGACCTTTCACCCAACACGTTAATTTATAAATTATAATAAATAGATTGAAATACCGCAATACAAACAAATAGTGTATATATTGTTGTTCAATGTTTTTTTTTTTTTCAAGTGGAACAAATAATATAATGATGAATAGAGTATTAAATCTAGTAGATATGTATATCTACTAATTTTACTATAATTACCGATTGCTATCTG